CCCCAAAACCCCAAAACCCCAAAACCCCAAAACCCCTCAGCTCCAAATAAATATTGTGAATAAAATAAATTTATAATAAGAAATGGAGAGTTCAGCCAGCCAGATGGACACAGACAATACTCAAGCCCAAGAGTAATATTAACCTCAAGAGTTGAGGTGTCTTCATCTTTTCAAGCTTTTGATGACTCTTTATGTTAATTATATCAACTATATAAACAACTCTTTAATCTCTGGCTTAGTACTCAGCTTACAATTTTAAGTTTTTCAGTGAACAAAATTTATATATTTCTCATCAAAGTTCAAGATAGTGCTTGATATGAAAAGGAATTATGGATTGCAATCTTTAGATTGTCTAAATCTATATCAAGCGAACTACAGAGATAAGTATCTGATTATTCACCAGATCTGTGTACATATTTCTAATCTAAGGAATGAAATGAACAAAATCTTAGCATGCTCGTATTATATATATGATGCATATATCAGAAAGCAAGGAAAAATTTTGCTTCTTAATGTTCATAAATTCTTGATCTAAAAATATGACCAAAGTTTGATCCCAACTCCTGTGGTTTAGTATGATGAAATTTGATTAATAAATTTATGATATAGAAGGGAAAAATTGATTTTGACTGAAGACAACACAGTTGATAAAATTTTGAGAAACAATTATTATTTTAATTGTCTTTCGGAGAAATTTATCTACGAAGATTCAGAGAGCGAGAATTCTGATGATGAGCAATACTATACTGAATATGATCCATTCCTTTATATGAATTTTGAAAAGCAAAAAGATCGAAATTATTTTAAGAAAGCTAACTTCATCAGCCCTTTTATTTTGCATGTTTTAGAATTACAAAAAATAAAAATTAAGAGTAAAACTATGATCAATTTCCATAATTATTCATTTCCTTTGAAGATCAGCAATGTAACAATTAAAGGTGACACAGGTTGCACTTCAATTATTTCTTCCACTTTCAATGCAATTATGAGAATAAGCCCAAGAGTATTGGAGAGAGTTAAGATTTCTTCTTTCAAAATCAGTGCTAATCAGTTTAAAAGACTCATAGTTTCATATAAGCATGTTCAAAGACTAGAACTCAGTTGTTGTAAGATTCTAGTTCCAGAAGTCTTTGACCTTTCCCAGCTGTTGAAAAATACACAGATTGAGGAGCTTGATTTTTCTTGGTCAGGAGACTCTGAACATTCTGATTGGGAGAACAACCCTCAAGAATATATTAATCTTATCCAAGGGCTAGCTACTTCTCCTGATTTAAAGCTCAGTCTTGGAACAATAATAACAATCAGTTGTGGAATTGAAAATATGGAAATGAGAGAAATTCTGGATCAGAATAAATTCAATAATACCGACCTGAGCGATTAAAATTTGCCATCACTCTTCATGCTCATCACTCCCTAATACAATTCCAAAATTATAACCTTTCCTACCCCCATTACCAAAACTCAACATTTCTATATAAAATCGGTTCCTCGGGGTTTTGGGGTTTTGGGGTTTTGGGGTTTTGGGG